AAGAGTCTTGTCTCCCTTCCCTGAAAAGACTGTAAACTCTCATTAATCTTGTTTGAGTCTTCTTTCTTCTTGTCTGAGTCTTCTTTCTTCTTTCTTTGATTTACTCGACTGTAAAGCTGCTAATTAATTTCTTCTCCCTTCACTATCTCTTTCACCTCTTTTTCTCGGTAACATAGGTTCAGGTCAGCTAATAGAGTAGAGGTTCAGGTTCAGGTTCCAGAGCTCAGCTGCTTTACCCACAGGTTCAGTCTCATTCTTCTTTCGTCTCATTCATCGTCTTAGTTTACAGTGAATAAATAGGAAAAGGAGTGAGCCCTTGTTTACTGTTCAAGAAGAAATAGGTTGAGTCGAATGAATCTTTCATTCCCTTACACTAGTAAAGTTTCATTCTTCTTGAGTCTTTCCTTGAAACACTTTCAGGAGGTAATCAAAGCCTATTTACCAAGGAAGAGACAAGTTTAGGAGTGAAGGAGAGAAGCAGAGGTTGGTTCAAGAAAGAGCTACTTTTACCTCCATAAGGCAAGCAAGGTGATATTGGAAAAGAAATCTTGAGTCTTGACTTCTGACAATGAATAGGTGAAAGAAGAAATAGGTTCCGGTGATTGAGCTTGACCTGATTCTCATCCAGCCTGTTCAGTCTCATTCATCGAGAGTTGAGGATTGACTTTCTCTTTGTCTCTGTCTTTTACCGAGTTCCATCTGTCGAATCTTGAGTTCAGTCTTTCCTTCAGGTGAAGTAGCTAATTCATTTACTCTTTCCTTCCTGTTCACTCTCATTCATCTTGTCTTCATCTTCTTCCTTCTTTCAAACACTGTAATATCGGTTCAGGAAGTAGCTCAGGTCATATGGGTTCAGTAGCTTTACTTACCTTGTTCAATCTGGTTCAGGAGAAAGAATAAGGATAGGTGGTTCAGTAGTTCAGTCTCATTCATCTTTCTTACAGTCGAGTAAAAGAGTAAAATCCGGAAAAGGAGTTAAGTCTCATTCATCTTTCTTTCATTTGTTGAGTCTTGAAGAGAATCAAATTCAATCAAAGCAAAGATTCGAAACCGAGGTTACAGTTTAATCTGGTGAAGGATAATTAAGTAAAAGAGGAAAGGGGCGAAGCTGTGAGACAAAGGAGAGGGGCGAAGCTGTGAGACAAGTTTACCTCCAAAAATAAGAGAAGGGAAAGAAAAGAGATGAATCTTTCTTCTTCTTTTACAGTTCAATCCGTCTGGTTCAGTAGTGAAGGGAAGTCGAATGAGTAAAATCGGTAGGATCAGTCTAATGAGTCTGATAGTGAACGAGAATTCTTGTTGAGTTGAGTCTTTCCTTGAGTCTTGACTTAATAGTTAATTACCTCGGCCAAAAATATCCAAAAAAATAGACAGAGATAGAATTTTCAAAAAAATGGTCCTTAAAGGATCATGAATAAGGGAAGGGGTATTTATCTTTGTTTACCGTTTTGGAAGAAATAGGGTCAGGAGTGAAGGGAATATAGGTTTTCAGGGGAAGGTTCATCAGTAATAGTCCTGTTCTGTTCTGTCTAATTCTTCTTTTGTTTCGTCTTTTCTTTCAACACTTTCAGGTTCAGTAGTTCACTCTCATTCATAAGAAGTCTCCCTTCTCTTTCCCTTCTTTCTTTCATTGTAAAGTCTAATTAAGCTTTAGTTTCTTTCGTCTTTCCTTTTAACACTCTCAGGTTCAGTAGTTCACTCTCATTCATAAGGTAAATGGGTGAAGTAGCTAATTCATTTACTTTTTCTTTCACTGTTCAGTCTAATTCTTCTTTTGTTTCATCTTCCTTCAAAGACTGTAAACTCTCATTCATCTAGCTTTCATCTTTTGTCTCATTCACAGACTGTAATGTAAAGGTGAAGTAGCTCAGGTCATAGAGGTTCTGGTTCTTGTTTCGGAGTTCACTCTCATTCATCTTTCTTTCGTCTCCCTTCTGTCTGTTTCCCTTTTGACTGTTGGATCTTTCAATGTACTGTTATATCCTTTCTTTCTCGTCCTGATACCCGAGTGAGGAACCCTGCGACGCCTGGGGGGCCCGAACCTTCCTTTATACACTGGGAGTTTTTTAAGGGACTCTGACTTATTGTTTGCTGCAAACCAGGGATCATCAATCGCCATAATGCCCAGAGCAAGCCAAAGGCAGGCCAACCTACGCCTTTTCCTCACCGTCACTGCCACCTCACGACTTGGATTCGAACTAATGAAGCTACTTTCCCTTTAGTAGATCGGGAGTGGGTCTGTCGTCCTCCTCATTATAGTCCTCCTAAAATCAATAGCATTTCGTCGGAATAGATCCTGTCTTTTCACCTTAGTAGTCATATGCATAGTCAGTACTATAACACCAATCATGGCTACTAATAAAATCAGACTAGAAACCAAAAACCAGACGGAATAGTAGGTATAAAGTAAATTGCCCAATGTTTCCAAATTAGTCCAACTGCGTACCTTTCCGGCATAAACCGTATATCTCAGAGAGGTCGTATTTCTTTGGGTTGATAGTAATGGAATGGTTTCATTATCTAAAATGAAGAACATTTCCCACCAAAAGATCAGTCCAATAATACCACTCATTGGTAAATAACGCAAGACTAATTTATGAATCTCCGCTATTTGAATATGGAAAATCATAACAACGAATAGGAATGAAACGGCTATAGCTCCTCTATGAACTACTGGGAAGATCATAGCGAAGAAGTCGAGACCTAACAAAAGAAGTAAACCTGAAGTGTTGCGAAAGACTGGGATGCGAAACAAAATGAAATGTACCGGATTTTTAGCACGTACAACCATCAAACTAGACCAAAGCTGGGCTCGAAAAAATGGAAAGTATCATGGTACGTCGTCCTTCCCTAAAATGGAACTTTCATGCTGGAGCAAGAACTAGCAAGAAAGTGGATCTATTACGACTAGCGCGGTTGTTCGTATTTCATTTTCTTCTTCCAAGTTAAGCCCTTCTTAGAAAGCACTCGCTGAGTTACTTACAGAATCTCAAACCTCTCTAGACGCCGAGAATTTGTTATGTTTCCAGGTTGATCAGAGGTTCGGCTTGCTTCTCCCCCACCTTTTAGCGTTATGGGCCCTTGAAAGAAGAAAGAAACCCAAAAGAAAAAAGAAAGAAGAGAAATTCGACCATCTTTCCGAGAGAGGCCGTCTTCTCTCAGGCCATCTGATACTGATACTCGACTACTCTATAACGGGCTTCCCCGTTCGTTCCCTGGGCTCTGCTCGCTCGTATACGCTCCGATCCTGCAAGTAATAATAGACAAACTCTCTTTTCTTTCCTTGCCTGCATTAAGATTGAAAACTTCTTGTCAAAAGGCAATCAATCAAATGGAAATAGTGAATCAAGATCTAGATCCCTATCTTTATCTCTATCCCGGGGATACCGCTACATATGGATAGAAATCGATCTATGAATCGATCTAGATGAGACTCGAGATGGATAGATATGTCCGATCGAGCCGATCTTTATATGTTTTGGCCACGTCAGTTTCCGCTCTGAATAGGAAGGTTTGGATCTTTCAATCTTATGTCGTGAGGGATGTGCCCTATCTTAGGTCCATAAGATACCACATCTTTTAGTGTTCTATGATTCACCTCCGAATAATGAGTAGGTAGTTCGATCCTTTTAATTTTTCTCTTCATAGTAAACTGATGGGGGGATGCAGAGCAATAGGTCGAATTACTATATAAAGAAGAGTTGTAAACTATAGGACTGATTCTTCGAGTAGGAAGATTTCGGTTTTTCTCCTTCCTTCTATTCGATAAGAATAGGGATTGAAAATGATACAAATTCCTCTTCATCCTGTTGTGCTCAGCGAAGGAACTGCCTAAGCATACTTTATCCGATCCAAACTTCTTTCTTCTTTCTAAGTTTGATTCTTGCATAGAAGAACGCAACTGTTGCAAAAACTGGGATTTTAGTAGTAGGCGGCATCCCCTCTGAGTTTTGAGTAGGTGGAATCATTCTGTTTTAGTTATTCTCCACATTCTTACCGGGTGATCCAGGAATTTGCCAATGATTTTTTCAACTGAGATTTCGATATAGAAAGATCTCCTTATTTCTTCACCGTGGATTCTCGCGTCATTTTCTTGAAAAGATATTAGATCACAGTGGGACACTTTAAAATGAGTAATGAGGACCATTCCTTTATTCACACAAACCCATCGATGACTTATCGGTTGCCTTGCTTGAGAAAGAGTTGAACTAAAATGGAGACGAACCGGAATAACGTCTGATCTTGTTTCTGGATTGAGTGGAAAAGGGATATAAGAAGTTCGTTCTCTTCCTCCGTGCATCTCTGTGATGGGTAAATCCCCGTGAAAAAGGGGCAAATTTCGTGTAGTTTGTGATTGTATGTAACTGTTAAGATATTCTCTCGGATAAATCTTTCTCTTAATAGATCTCCTCTTGTTTCTCAATTTTCGGAGAATGCGGCGTTGTATTATTGTAAGTTCTCTGTTCCTAACATTTCCAAAAAGTAGACGACAAGTTTGAAATCTTAATGCAGGCAAGGCATATCTTGTTGAATTTGTTTTTTTGCCACATCGCGTATAACGGGAATCAAACCCCCTCTGCAGCTGACGGGCGTATGGAGAATCTTCGAGATACTTCAGCAACTTTTTAGGAGTTGGTTTTGTCGTGCCCCTTTCTCAAATAATCAGGTATCTTTATGCCATCCTTCAGTGCGCAGGAGCACACTTCTGTTTTCCACAACCTATACAAGGGGGTGGTAATGCATAGAGATCTCCCGCCAGCTGTCTTCTCTTCCTATCACTGAACTTTGTTCGAGAGATCTGATCTCATCGGATCTCACCAGGGCGGGCGAAGGGGAAGGAAGGGATGGGTGATCCGGGAACAGCAACGGGCCTCTTCCTCACGCCTATTTGTTCTCCAGGCCTCAGAGAGATGCGGAACTCTTCTTTTTTAATAAAAAGATGATAGGGCCATGATACATTCCAGAATATTGTTGTAAAGGAATAGACTCTTTTCATCCCCGCCTGCCTGAGGACTTATGTGTATGTTTTGGAATAGGGATGTTCGCCTATTGTAACAAGTAGACCCATGATACGGACTAATAGATGTTCATACTCTTACCCGAAAGTCAGATATCTATATCATAGTTGGCCAGTCCACCACGGCTTCTCGCTTTTCATGAATGTCTCTCCCCCTCTGCTTATGTGAGTTTGACCCGCCTTTGACTCCGCTTGCTTCTGACTCCCTATGAGCCGTTTGACGACCTGACTTTTTTGAAGGGTCGGCGAGACATGGGAGCCTCAGCTCATGCATCGGTTTACCGAAAGAACCAATGCTATCCCACTTCCTTCTATTCAAAAAGGCGAGCTGCCCTTACTTAAACAAAAAGGCCAAATTCGGGGGCTCCTTCCCTATTTCTCGGTCTCGCAGCTTCCTCCTCTTTATATATTACTAAGCCCTCAATCAAGTGGGTAACCCCGAAAGGCGAACTCAGCCACTTTTTAGGAGTTGGTTTTGGCTTGCCTCCTTCTATTTGATTAGTAAAGCGGTAACGAGCAAGAAAACAGATGCGCTAACGCCTTGACTTGAGATTTGGAAATGCAAATGAAAGAGGAAATAGAAAAAGAATCAGTCAATTCCTTTCGAGTTTCGCCTTCACCCTTCCGTGCACCCGCCTTAGGCGAGAGGCCGATCCCACGGCTAAGATAGTCGCTCCAGAGGTCGCGCAGTTCCGGCTTCGCCCGCGAATCCTGCCAGTTCCTGGGGCAACCCCTATCAAAACCCCAATCAACAACCGGGGGCGGCTCAAGAGGCGCTGCCAGAGGCGCCAGCACCGGCAGAAGTTCCGCACCGCGATCCCCATCCCCTGAGGCACTTCTCAGGGAAATTCACACGTTAGTCACGCAGCAACTACGTTCAGAGTGTGAAAGAGGGCGAGTGCAGCCCTCACTTTCAAGAAATGAGAAATATGTATTCGGAAATAGCCAATAACAAACATTCTTTCTCAGGATCTGGAAATATCTGCGTAGATGGATGCCGAACCCCTCCACGAATGGATGGAGCAGATTAGAGATAACCCTACAATCTGCTAAAAAGTCTTTTGGCATAATACCGCTATGCTATAAAAAAACAGAAAAGGTTTCCTCTCCCTCTCCCTATCGGTCGAGCTACTTACTCCTTACTCCCTCTCCTCTTCGAGTCGAGCTCCTTACTCCCTCTCCCTATCGGTCTCGCTCCTTCCTTACTCCTGACTCCCTCTCCTCTTCTCCTCGCCTTTTTTTCTTTCTTTTTTTTCGGTATGCCGCTCCGCGAGAAAGAAAACCAAGTGGGCTGTGGTGATGTAAGAATTAGGTTTTTCTACTTTCACTTTGTTGTTGAGAAAAGATATCGGGGAGACCCTTGACCTGGGCGGGCTCCCGCGCCCTTCTTTGTTTAGTTTGTTTATCTCGGTGGTTGCCCTCTCGAGTCAGGTTCGCAGTTTGCTGGGCGCTTTTCTTGCTTTTTATGAAGTCGCCCTTTTTCTTTCTTTCTTTCGTTTGTGCATCTTTCTTTCTCCCATGCTTTCCGTTGGTCAACAACCAACCACAGCTCTCTATAGTTCTTCACTACTCGTACAGGAAGGAGTCTCTTTCTGTCTGGAGGGAATAATCAATCATTTTTTCTCAATCAAGAATGCCTCAACTGGATAAATTGACTTATTTCACACAATTCTTCTGGTCATGCCTTTTCTTCTTTACTTTCTATATTCCCATATGCAATGATGGAGATGGAGTACTTGGGATCAGTAGAATTCTCAAACTACGGAACCAACTGGTTTCACACCGGGGGAACAAGATACGGAGCAACGACCCCAACAGTTTGGAAGATATCTTGAGAAAAGGTTTTAGCACCGGTGTATCCTATATGTACTCTAGTTTATTCGAAGTATCCCAATGGTGTAACGCCGTCGACTTATTGGGAAAAAGGAGTCAAATCACTTTTCTCTCTTGTTTCGGAGAAATAAGTGGCTCACGAGGTCTCGAAAGAAATATATTCTATTTGATCTCGAAGTCCTCATATAGCACTTCTTCCAATCCTGGATGGGGGATCGCTTGTAGGAATGACATAATGCTAATCCATGTTCTACACGGCCAAGGAAGCATCGTTTTTTAATCTCATTATGACTTGGTCGTTCGGAAGAGATTCTTTCTCGATCAGAATAGTAGAAAGCATTACAAGAGAGATATATCCCTTTTCAAATCCCCACGCGAAGAAGGACGTTCAGAAAGGTTATCGAGAAAGTCAATCGCTCTTTTTAGTGGGGAGGAATAGTCCGGGAAGGGAGCGAGACCAAGCCGAGGAGAGTAAGCCCTTCCCACGTGTAAAGTTGAATAAATTCATCCTCAACCAGAGAGATCAACCTGCGCCTTTCATTTTAGGCCGCCGGCGGCGCAGAACGCACTAATCCGCGACCAACAAGTTTTCCGAAACCAAACTGCAGAGAATTCTGACTTTACTAAAATGCTTGCTGAAAATCAACGAAAGAAGGAAGGTCTTCCCACGTAGTTCGTCGGTCAAACCAACGAGATTCTCCTCTCAAAGGAATAGAGAGATCTTTTTCTAGTTAGACTTCTATCAATGCAATGAAAGAACCATCCCTTCCTATTTTTTTGTCCTGTCAGATAGAAAGAAAATGAGACCCCAGCCCTTCTTTACCACTTTAGCGGGGGTGAAGGGGGGGTTTACATACAACCGAGGCAAAGTGGTTTATGATTGAATCTCAGAGGCATTCTTTTCATTTGGTAGATCCAAGTCCATGGCCCATTTCGGGTTCACTCGGAGCTTTGGCAACCACCGTAGGAGGTGTGATGTACATGCACTCATTTCAAGGGGGTGCAACACTTCTCAGTTTGGGCCTCATATTTCTCCTATATACCATGTTCGTATGGTGGCGCGATGTTCTACGTGAATCCACGTTGGAAGGACATCATACCAAAGTAGTACAATTAGGACTTCGATATGGTTTTATTCTGTTTATCGTATCGGAGGTTATGTTCCTTTTTGCTTTTTTTCGGGCTTCTTCTCATTCTTCTTTGGCACCCACGGTAGAGATCGGAGGTATTTGGCCCCCAAAAGGGATTGGGGTTTTAGATCCTCGGGAAATCCCTTTTCTTAATACCCCTATTCTCCTTTCATCCGGAGCTGCCGTAACTTGGGCTCATCATGCTATACTCGCGGGGAAGGAAAAACGAGCTGTTTACGCTTTAGTAGCTACCGTTTCACTGGCTCTAGTATTCACAGGCTTTCAAGGAATGGAATATTATCAAGCACCCTTCACTATTTCGGATAGTATTTATGGTTCTACCTTTTTCTTAGCAACTGGCTTTCATGGTTTTCATGTGATTATAGGTACTCTTTTCTTGATCATATGTGGTATTCGCCAATATCTTGGTCATCTGACTAAGGAGCATCACGTTGGCTTTGAAGCAGCTGCATGGTACTGGCATTTTGTAGACGTGGTTCGGTTATTCCTATTTGTCTCTATCTATTGGTGGGGAGGTATATGAAAGAACAAAACAGTGCATTGAGGAATTCAAGCTCGAAGACAAAGAGAACCGGGCTTTTCCAAAGAATTACAGCAGCTTTCCTTCTTCCTTTAATTATTATATACAAAAAAGTCTCTTCCACTTTCCTACCAAATCTATCTGTAGTCTGGCACATAAATTCAGGGATCGAAGAGATTATGGCAGATCATGTTCACCAAGAAATGACCCGAAATTGGATCTTAGTCTATTTGAGATTGTTCCTTTTAATCGTAATCAAAGATGTTTTCTTCTCTCTCATTTCTTTTCCGAATAAATCGAAGAACCTAATGGATCGAACTCATCCTTCCTTGGCTGCTATGAAAGATATCGCCCTTGCGTTGCGGAAGGAACGTTCTCTTCTCTTTTGAGTTTCAGGCAAGAGCTCTTTCTTCAATAAAGGGTTGGAACTCTCATCTTTCCCCGGGAAGAATATGGTATGGGCTTGTTGAAGCTATGAAGCATCTTAGAGTATTCCATTCCGTTTTTCAGCTGGATCCGGGCTTGGTTCGACCTGAAAAAACGGCGATTTAGTAGAGAGAGAGAGAGGTTTTCGAAAGAAAGGCTATCAACGTAGTAGTATATAGATAGAGTGAGTGTGCAGGGTGTAGGTATACCACTTACGAGAAAGAACCCCAAGTAAGTAAAGTAGTTAACCAAAGACAAGTAAGTAGTTCGTCAGTCCTTCCTCCGACGCCTCCCGTTCATTTTCATTCTTTCTTTCTTTCATGTTTTTTGTTTTGTTTCTTCATAGGTCCCAAGCCCTTCTTATCAAGCCCTCCTTAAGTCAAAAAAAAGAATGCTGCTTTATTTGAACGAACATTGTAAGAACCTTTCTAACTGACACCCCAGTCATAATGCCACCCACGTCTTTTTGAACAAAGACTTTTTTGTCTTTTTGATTTGAGTTAATAATAAATAAATAACTGGCAGGTTTCATTAATGAAAAGAAAAGCGGAGGCCCGCCATCTGCTAGCATTGTGGTTTGGAATCGATTCTTTATCAATGTCCCACCCTTTCTTTGAACCTTGTCAATGATCGAACTTAAAGATATGAACTGAGTGCCATTTGATGAGTAACTGAGAACAAGGGAGAGGGATATGGAAAGGATGAAGTAATGAAAGAGGAAATCATTGCTAGTAGTAACGACTTGTCACGATCCATTGGTTCATATAGAATCCATGTCCTAGGTGTATCAAAAAACATGATTTTCGCTAAGCGTATATAATAAAATAGAGTGAAAGGGTACACCCCGAAACCAAGGGCGTACTAACTAAGAGCTGAGTCCTCTCCGAACCGCAAGAGATAGTTGCCCATCATACGGCTCACCAACTTCACTTGCCTCTATGGGAGGCTCGCTCCGGGCAGGTTCGGATCACTTACAATACACGGCTCTACGAAGGAAGGGCTTGGTGGGTTAGTAACGCGTTTTCAATATGATGATTTTTCCGTATTTGTTTGATGAGAAATGCGAGACGAAAAAGGAACTCATCTTTTCGACTGGGAAATGCAAGTCTGTTTTGTCCACTTTCTCCATCCCCCTCTATCAAAATCAAAAAAAAGGCGAGCTTGCTTCTTATTCCCGTGTTCGATCTCTTCCATCTCTGCCTCGCTCGTTGTCACCTATGTTGAAGAAAGGTTTGGAACCCTGTAGAGAATGAAGAGGGGCCAAGCATCTTCCTCTCAACAGTGCTTCTTGAGGCTCCACTCTCCCCGTAAGGCCCCGTTAGCCTGGGCGAGGGGATAAGGAATAAGGATTGAATGAAGCCCCCTTCCTTAGCTCTGCCAGGGACTGTACAGGGGTTAGCTTTGTAAATGTGTAGAGCCAAGTGTAGTGTGGTGTAGTAGTAAGCACTTCTAGGCCCCTTCCCGGCTACAGGATGACTCCAGTGCTTTGGGTACTACGGACCCTCTGCCATCCATTGCAGCAGAGCCGTTTCATGAGCGGGGGGGCTAAGCGCAGTTCTTTGAATCAACCGTTGAATGAAATCGATTCTTTTTTAGATATCAAAATCGAATCTCGATAGATTCATCCATCTTTCTATTCATAGATCTGACTAAAAAAATGGATTGAAGTAGCGTGAAGCCCCAAATCCTTGATTTGGCCAGGAAAGACTGCACTGCTTTGGGCCCAGGAAGCGAAGGGAATGAGCTCGGTTCTTCTCCACACTGATTTTTTTGATCTGTGTCCGTTCCGCGCGCGATTGGCGCTTTGTTCTCCTCTTATTCTTCATTGGACGGTTCGGATGGACTTCGCCGTTCTTTCCCAACTCAAATTGAAAAGGCTGTCTCACATCGAGATGTCGATTCGTTTTCCGCCCCCAATGAGATGGGGAATTAGTAACCCCCTATTTCGTTTGGCCCTGAATCTTTCTGAATCGAGGCCCGGCTCGCGTCGTTCCAACAACCGGCGGGGAGCACCTCAGTATACGATCGCGCGCAGTAACTGGGAGTCCTATTACACCTAAGGCCAACTTCAATTCACCAAACCAAGGTTCATCTCGTGTAGTGATTGTGGACTCGTACAAGGGAGTAGACGTTTGATGTATCAGACTCGACCCTATCTTTCGGAGCATGCATTCCCATCCGTGTCGCAACTGATTCGGTAAGCTACGTGTCCGGTGCACGGAGAACAGCCTTCGGTCTCCCAAACGGACTGACTTACTCGTGGCAACCTTCCGGCCGCCCAACGACCTATAACGCTAGTCACTACTCCCACTGGGGCTAGGAAGTAAGCCCCACAACCCAAAGCGGCGAAAAACAAATAGAATTTGCTACAAAAACCGGCTAACGGGGGTATTCCTGCGTATGAGAACATAGTAATGGAGAAGGTAATAGCCGAAATAGGATTCGTTTTGGCTAGAGCGCCCAAATCCGCTATATATTTTACACGGGGTTGCCGTAATGCTAAAACTATAGCGAATGCATCTATCGTCATTAATACATAAATAAAGATACCAATTAGTAGTGATTGAATTCCTTCTATGGTTCCACATGAGAAACCAGTACGAATATAACCTACATGTCCAATTGAACTATGAGCTAGAGGTCTTTTGACTTTCGTTTGGGCCATGGCGGCCAGTGCTCCTAAGATCATAGAAGCAATGCTGCAGAAAAAGAAGATTTGTTGCAATGTAGCTCCATAGGAACCATAAATAGAAAGACGTGAAATATTAGCAAAAATAGAGATTTTAGGCGCAATAGAAAGGAATGCTGTAACCGGGGTGGGTGAACCCTCATAGATATCAGGTGCCCACATATATAGAGTCAAAAGAGATATGGAGTCCGAAGGGTAGGGGGTTTTTCTTCGGGGCTTGAGAGATGGAATAGATAGGGCCCCACAAGTTGAGAATTCGCCGCTGTGGAATTCACACGAAAGGGAACGAGGAATGATCAACGAAAAAAGTGCTCTCTGAACCGAACGTGAAAGTTGTTTTCCATCAGACGGCTCTTTCCGTAACTCCACTCTCGACTTGGATTATATATCCAAAAAGGTCCGCTCTCGGCTATTCCACACGCTGCCGCCTAGCGGAGGCATGGTTATCTGAAGTGGATTCTCTCTTTTCTAGTGGATGCCGAACCTGCTGCCCCATTGACTAAGAAGGGGGCGGGCGCAGCAGCTACATGGACCCCTTCCTTTTGTTGCCAGCGCTTTCCCGGGCCAAGCCGGAATTCTTGATGAGAAAGGGCAGGCAAAGCCCGAAGACTGCTATCCTACCTAATAGGCCAGCGGGCAGAACGAGGAGAGGGCCCGGCAATCATACCACCGCTTTCGAAAAAGCGTGTTCCCTTCAGATAAGACGCACTGTAGGCCATCCTCGGCCTTCTTCGTTTTTGATTCAAAAGAAATCCAATCTCGATCTCCGAAAGCGTTTTCCTTCCCCTCCCTTCGTCGAGCCTTTAATGGTTGGGGGAAGCATTTCCTTATCTGAACTTGGCGGGCATTCTTTACTAGCCTGATTCAAAGAAAGAGGGGTGTGAACATAGGCGATGATTTTCAGGTCCTAGGCCATGCGTTCAATACAAAAGAAAGCTGCAGGGATGACAAAAGGAGGTTTCCTGTCTTGCACTGAAAAAGAAACAAAGAGGAATAGAATAGACATCCCTTTTTCTGTCTATGTATTCTTTATCATCTCCCTATTTCTTTGTTTTGATATCGTTATATCTCTCTCTCTAAATCAAATTGAGAAAGAATGGATCCTATCCCCTATATCGAACACTAAATCCTATCTATTGATCGAAAGATCTTCGTCAAATACCGGACTTTGCCTTTTCTTTTTTTTAGGAATTCCTCATATCCAAAGCGGCTTACCACAAGCACCCCACCTCATACGACTAGTTGGGGGGGCTGGCTGTTCGCCTTTTGAATCAAACAAAGTCAAAAGTCAGTAGTAGGGGCTGAATAGCTACTTTCTTTCATTCTCAAGGAAAGCGAAGAATCCACCTTTAGTCAATAGGAAGGAGCCCTACTTCATGAGTTGCCGGGCGTAGCGCACCGCAGGTTAATCTCAAGTTTTTTTAGCTTGACTTTACTAAACTAATAAGGGCTCGCTGCTTGATAGTGACTTCTTTAGTTTGGTAGGATGACGAAAGACTACTTCAATGACGTAAACCGCCGGAAACTCGAGAGGGTCGCCTTTGGAAGCGTTCGCCGGTAACCCGTCACAACATAATAAAAAGGAATGAGTTTAGCTGACTGAATCCAATCCATAAACCCGGAAACGAAACTTTGTTCCCTTTCGTCAAGTAGGTCAAAAAAGAGGTATACGAACGACTTTTGCTTTGCCTTAGACTCGATTGGAACAAAGCTCAGAAAGAAGGGGAGGCGGAATGGAGAAAGGAAAGGGACAAGGGCGGTCTTGCTTGGCGCGAAGGTGGTTTGGGGGTAGGGTACTAAAGGTCCTCGGACTTCCAGGCGGTTTTTCTTTTGGGCAGCTGTTCACCGTTGGATCTCGCCAATACAGCCCCCCATAGTTTTCGTTACCGAGATATCTTTTTTTTCATTGTTCCCAGGGATTTTTTGGGTAATCTGCTCCCATGCTGCAAACAGTCAAATCTGAACTCAACCCTGTCGCTCTTCTTTCTTTCCTCGCGGGCAGGAAGCACACCAGCTGGGTGCCTTGCGTGATTCTACTGTGTTTTTTGCACTTGACTGGGTGGACAGTTGACCGGAAGAGAACTTAGATTCGCCCGGCCATCAGGCGGGCTAGTGCTTATCTTATGTGACAACACTACAGAGCGAGTGGCTCTTCTAGGCGGGCTGCTGTGTGACAAGACTACAGAGAAAGCGGCGCTTTCGTG